TAAATAAAATATAAACAAAACTTTAAAATAAAACATCAATAAAAATTAAATAAAATTATTTTATTTGTAAATTGAGACATTTAAATTTTATTGAATTTTACTAATTATAATACATAATTAAATAGTAGAGGGTCAAAATGGTCATTTTACCACCGAATCGCATATCTCCCTTTATCCCGCCAGTTATGTCCCCACCCCTCCCTATGGGACATAATAGTCCAACATATTTGAAACTAATAGTTTGGAGCAATAATTTTGAACCAAACAATGGACTATCAGTCCAATCTCATGCCTCAATCCCTCAAAACAAACACCACCTTAGCCTATATATTTGCTTTGGTATGGAATTGATTAGGTTTGTACCTCGTTTACGAACATCTATATTTACTTGATATCTATTAGAGGTGTAAATTTTGCTTGGCTCGCCCCATGTTGGACCTCATGGGCTCTTGTCAAAAATCGGGCCAAGTCTGTTCACCGGCTAAAAAACTATGCTTAGGCCCAGGAGATATTCGAGCATTGGGCAGGTAGGCGGGCTGGACCGGTGGGCTTGGGCCCAAGCTCGGGCGGGTCTAAACAATTTTTTTTTTTTTTACTTTTTTCTACTAAAATTTTATTATTTTTCACTAAAAATAACACTAGGCCGTTGGCGAGGTGGGCCGATGGGCTGGGCTTTGAGTGAGCCTTGAGCGGGCCAATGAGTCGGGCCACGGACCGGGCCAGGAGGGCCCGAGCCCACGGGTCGGACCGGACTTCAAAACGACGGCCCAGGCCCAGGCCCAGGGTCTAGGACTGCCTAAACAGGTCGGGCTCACCCCCGGGCCACGGACGGGTTTTGGGCCCCCCACAGGCTGCGGGCTATTTTTACACTACCAATATCTATTGTTTGCATATAGTACACTTGTCCTTGAGTGGGTGTTTGGTATAGTAGCTTTTTTAGTGTTTTTTTTTTTTGGCTTTTCTTATTTTTAGTAAAAAAAAAATTTTTTTATAAAAATCTTGACACTTTTAGATTCTACTAAGACAAACCAAAAAAGTTTAAAAATAAAAAATAAAAAATTTTGAAAAAAAGTCGAGAAAAGATCACAAAAAAAAAAGCCCACTGTCAATTAGTATGTTGGTTTTTTTGTTGGCTTTTTTTAATTTTTAGTGAACTTAGATATTTTTTTTAAAAAAAATCGAATTTTTAGATTCTTTTATATTAGACGGACATGAAAAGTAAAAAAAATTGTCATAATTTTGAAAAATGATCACTAAAACCAAAAAAAGTTTGGAAAAAGAGGTGGCTTATTTTTATTTATTTTTTTTCTTTAGTTTCCAAACATGCTTTAAGTATTCGTATTTAGCTCTCAAGTTTTCAACTACCATTTAATTTTACCTTCATAATCACTTGATTTAAAATTTTCAAAAGTCAATTTACCTTCCCTACGTGGTTACAGTTATGCTATTTTTGTGCATTAGAATTGGAGACTGCTAATCACTTATTACCTACGTGTAGAGTGTCCGAAAATTTAGTGTACATGTTTGCTTCGGTGTGAAATTAAGTAGGTGTGTCCCTCATTTGTGCACATCTATATATTTACTTGATAGCTATGGTCTGCATATAGTACATTTGTTCTTAAGCGTTCGTATTTGGCTCTCAAGCTTTCAACTTTCATTCAATGTTACGTTGTTAATAACTTGGTTTAATGTTTTTTATACTTAATTTACCCCCTTCTAGGATGCCAAACTAGCTACAATTATTGATTGGAGTAAATTGATTATTGTATTTTTGTGGATTGGAATTGGACACTGCTAACCACTTATTAAATTTGTGCGCGGAGTCTTCAAAATTTTAGTTTGAATGTTTAGGTAAGTATGGAATTGAGTAGGTGTGTCTCTTGTTTGTGAGCATCTATATTTACTTGATATCTATTGTTTGCATACACTTACCCTTAAGCATTATTATTTGGTTCTCAAGTTTTCAACTTTCATTCACTTTTACCTAGTAATCACTTGATTAAAAGTCAATTTACCCCCTTCTTAGGTTGTCTACTTAATTACAATTATTGATTAGACCAAATTGATTATTAGCATTATGCTATTTTTGTACATTCGAATTGGAGACTGCTAACCACTTACTACATTTGTGAAGGAAGTCTTGAAAAATGTAGTCTTCATGCTTGCTTTAGGTGTGTCCTTCGTTTTTGAGCTTCTATATTTACTTGATATTTATGGTTGCATATAGTATTGCATTTGCCACCATTTATATTTGCCCCTCAAGTTTTCATTTACTATTAAATTATTTTAAACTAATTTTACCTTCTTTTGTGTTATCTACCTGGTAACATTTATTGAAGGACCAATGATACAAATAAAGTTGTTCAAAAAAAATTTTTTTGATACAAATAAAAATTCAAGGGAAAAATCGAAATTAATTGAAATTACAAAGATTAAATTGATACAAATTACAGGCATTATCAATTTAATTTTGTTGGATTTATTTTTCTAGTGTGGCCCAATAGCCTACATATTTTCTACATGTTTTAATTTATTTGGACTCCACAAATAGATAAAGCCAATATTTGAGATCAAGTTCAGTAAATAGAATTTTAATATAATCACTCTTCTAAGATAAGAAGGAAACCTTGATGGATTAGGAATTCTTCTGATAGAGTTTATATGGCCCTCTTCTCTCCTCTATATAAGGATGGGTGACTCCCCTTTCATATCATGAGTATTTTTCCATCACTTTAAGTTTTATAGTCATCCTAATAAAGTGAGAGACAGAGAGAAGAAGGTGAGCCAAAATTAAAGGGTTCAACTATTAGGGGTATTTTCTCAACTGAATTAAATATTTTAAAAACTTAATAAAATCAATCGGCAATTTAAAAATTAAATAGATTTTAATTTATATATTTTAAAAATTAAATAAATTCAGTTGATAATTTAATAATAATTTAAGAATAAAAAATATTTAATGAAAATTTAATAATAAAAAGTGCAATAAATCGTTTTACAATGAGACATATTCTCTTTTTTTGGAGATAATTTTTTAATAAAAGTGCCAATGGACATAAAATAACTCAAACTCCCCATTTGTTTTTAAAGGTAGAATGAACGAGATTAATAATGAAGAAATTGTTAGTAAAGGGATTAAGTAAAATTGTATTTATTTTGATAATAGTTATTAGCATAGGAATTGTTAAATTATTTTTATATAAAATAATAAAACAAATAAAAAAATACAAAAAAATTAAACATTAATGTTCAAAAAAAAAAATACTCAACATGTAAAAAATAAAAAAAAAATTTATCCGGCGGACTATGTCTTTTCTAAAGGAAAATGCGTTGGACCCCCAGTGGAGGTGTTGGGGTCCTTGCTGATTGGCTGAAAAACAATATTTTTTTTTTTTTTGGACTTCAGTATCACTCTTTTCTAAAACCACCTCCACCTCCATCTCCACCTCCTTCATCCCAATTTCCCTTAGGTTGAATCCAAAAGATTCATACTCCCGGCCTCTATCACTTCTATATCTTTTAATCTTTTTACCGAATTGATTTTCGACTTCAAGAAGGAATTCTTTAAATTTTTCAAAAGCATCACTTTTATTTTTCAACAAGTATACATAAGTGTATTTTGAAAAATCATCAATAAAAGTGATAAAATATCTATTTCCACCACGTGTTAAAATTCCTTCAAATTCACATAAATCAGTGAATTAATTCTAACTATTCAGTATTTCTCACCATACTTTTATGAGGCCTTTTAGTTATCTTTGCTTGACTGCAAACTTCACATTTCTCAAACTTATTTGTTAGTCTGGGAATTAATCCTAAACTACTCATGACTTCCACATATCGGCTATTAATATGACACAAACGAGCATGCCAAAAGTTCATAGAAGACAACATGTAAACAGAAATGTGTGCTTTCTTATTCTCAACATTTAATTTAAATATTCCATCACAGGCATACCATTTCCCCACAAATATGCCTTTTTTGGTGATTACATATTGGTTAGATTCAATAGTCTGCTTGAAACCAGCTTTGTTGAGCAAATAGCTCGACATCAAATTTTTCCTCATGGACGGTGTACAACATATTTTTTAAAACAAGCACACGTCTAGAGGTAAAATTCAGCTCAACATCCTCACACCCGAGCACCTTGGTTAAACTGGAATCACCAAGCATAACAGTCATTTCCTCATTAAAAGGAGTGAAATCTTTGAACCAATCTTTATCACAGCAGACATGCCTATTGGCACCAGAGTCTGCCCACCACCCTTCCACAGATTGAACCATAAAAATATCTGTAATCATAACCATAAATGGTTCCTTGGTAACATTAGCCTGTGGTCGAGACTGTTGTTTCTGAAATTTGCAAATTCGAGCAATATGCCCACTTTTGCCACACACAAAACATGTCACATTTGTCAAATCTTGTGAATGGGGTTCTTAGTTCCATTTCTTTTGCCTTGGGTAATTTTTATTTTGTGGCCTTCTAGTATTTTTCCAGATTTTCTTAACTGGCTATAAGTGACTATTTTTATAAAATCGACCTTTAGGTAAAGTATTTCCAAAAGTTAAATTTACCTTTGTAATGGAATGCTCTTGTATCATAAGCACATCTTGTCCTCGTTCTTCCTTCTCTACCCGAATCCGTGTGATTAAAGTCTCCAAGGACGTCTCTTTTTGCTTGCGACGCATTGATTTCTTGAACTCTTTCCAAGATGATGGTAGTTTGTCAACAATACCTGCTACAACAAGATTGTCTCCAATTTTGATGCTTTCGGATCTAACTTCAGCCATTAGCATCTAAAAATCTTGAACTTGCTCCACCACTGATTTTTCATCTATCATCTGATAGCTAAAAAAACAGCTTGCAACATATTTTTTGGCGCCTGCCTCTTCAGTGTCATATTTATTCTGCAAGGCTTTCCAAATTTTCTTGGCAGTGGTGTAAGTAGTATCATAATAATCATAAAATTGATCCGAAAGACAATTTAAAAGATAATACCGACATTTATACTCATCTGTGTTGTATTTCTTGATTTGTTCAAGACGAGCTGCATACTCCTCATCGGTCATCTCTTCAGAGGGGACTTTGTTCGGATTTTTCTCGGTCAGGATATAGGCTACCTTGAGGAGATTGAGGTAGAAAAGCACCTTGCCTTTCCATCTCTTGAAATGGGCTCCCTTGAACCGGAAGGGCTTGTTAAGATCGTTGGTATTCTTGTTGGGCTTCTCCAGTACTGGCTCCATGAATTTTTGCTATTTGAATCTCCTTAAAATTGTTGGTGATAATTACAAATAAAACACCAGAAAATACAAATAATAAAAATCACAATAACTATTGTAAGGGCTGAGGTGCAGGAAATTCGCTCTCTTTAAGAAGATTCAAATCCTCTGCAGTTAGGCAAAGCCTCACACCGGTGCAACAGAAAAAACCATGACTTGTCCCTCCAGGATACAACAGCCCGACTAAGTCGTATGGTTCACCAATACTGCACAATTGGTTGAACCCAAAGTTTTATCACATACACCATTTTTTATTTGCTTGATAATCTCACACAAAACATAATAAAGCAACAAAAACTTATTCTCACCTCCAAGATAAGAAGTTAGATCAATTTATAGAAGATGAAGCTTGTTAGACAAGTGGCTTGGAGAAGAAGACACTTAGTGGATAACAATAGGAAAGGAAATTGGTGAGCAATTTCCTTAGAAGACTTGAGAAGAAGACTTGAAAGACTTGGAAGACTTGTCTTGGAAATTTGGTGGGCAAGTTACCTTGGAGGAAAAGAAAGGATTAACAAGTTATTTGGAGCCCAATCACATAATATAATCTATAACACATTATAATATTAAAATATTTGCTAACATTCAATCAGTGTGTTTGGTTTCAGTTTTCTAGAAATTGTGTTTTTTATTTTTCGTATTTTTTTTTTGTTTTTAATGAATATTTTTAAAATTTTAAGCAATGTTTTTACTTTTTAGATGCACCTTACTTAGATATATCTAAATGATAAAATATTTGTGAAAAAATATTTTAAAAAATTAATAAATACACAAAAATACGAAAAATATACTGAATTTTTATATTTTTGGTATTTAATGAATTTTTTTAAAGATTTTTTTTTACAAATATTATGCTTTTTAAGTGTATTTATGTTAGGTATGTCTAAAAATTAAAAAAAAAATACTAAAAATATTAAAAAAATTCATTGAAAACCAAAAAAATATATATGAATAATAAAAAGATGATTTTTTTGAGAAGTATTTTCTGAAAACCAAACCAAGAATAATATCTTACTATAGAAATGGAATTTAAAAAGAAAAAAAAGAGTTCAATGCATCTTCAACCAAAAAAAAAAAAAAAAATGAAAAACTTTGAAGCAGAAGATCACTTAAATGTAGCAGTGATGTAAGCTATTAAAGCATGCAAGTACTCACACAAACGAGCAGTTGGAGCTTCTCTGCCTTTTCTTCTTTGCTATTTCCTTCCTCCTTGGTGGTTGAAGAACAACCTTGATTGCAGTGTCAAAAATGGCTTTCACATTCTAATAAACAACCACAAGACTTGTTAGAATTCAGTTGAGGTTAATCATTGTTGGTGAAAATGCCAGAAAAAATTATATTTTATTGATAAATGATGCAATGATAAAAAATTGTAAAGAAAATAAGATACAAATAGATCAGGCTGAGGCACGAATATCTTGTTTTCTTTAAGGAGATCAAGCCCACTGTGGTAGGAAGAACCCAAATACCGATGCAGCAGTTACAAAACTATGACTTGTCTCCTCTAGGATACAACAGCCCGACCACTTGTCGTATGATTCAGGCCAACTCTGCACAAGATGGTGAACCTAAAGCTCCACCAAGAAAAACACCATTCTTTGCTAGTAATCTCTCTTGTATAGAAAATAGTTAGTGTGTTGGTGTAGAAAAGAGTAGATGGGAGGAACTATTTATAGGCCACTAGGACCTTACAAATTACACCAAAAAATAATGACCATTAAACAAGAGAAATGGAGAGACTCCAAATAATAAAGAGAAAATGGAGAGACTCCAAATAATAACTCACCATCAAATTCATGAATTCTAATTACCCTCCATTCATGAAAAAGATAAGATTCCTGAATCAAACAAAAGAAGATTCATGAACAAAAATATATAAATAAATAAATAAAAGATATTAAAATGGTCATGAACAAAAAATATATAAGCCTTGTTCTCATAGAAAGCGGCTCCACTTTCATGCTTACCAAGGATGTCCCTCTTAAATTACCTTGCCGATCAATTTTATGATTACTATGACACCACTTACACTTCCGCAAAGAAAATTTGGAAAGCTTTACAGACTAAGTATGATACTGAAGAGGCAGGAGCAAAAAAGTACGCAGCTAGCCGCTTTTTTCGTTTCCAAATGGTAGATGGAAAATCTGTTGTGGAGCAGGCATAAGATTTCCAAATGATAGTTGCAGAAGTAAGATCTGAAGGCATCAAGATTGGTGACAACTTGGTAGTTGTAGGATTTGTTGACAAGCTACCGCCATCTTGGAGAGAATTCCAAAAGAGCATGCGCCACAAACAAAAGGAGACTTCCTTAGAGGCGTTGATCACTTGCATCCGAGTCAAAGAAGAGGCTAGAGGCCAAGATACATTAATAACATAAGCGGATAATGACAATTCTACCACAAGGGTAAACTTTGTTTCAGCAAATAATAACTTACCCAAAGGTCACAATTCCAAGAATGCTTATTTGAAGCCTTATAAAAAGAATATGAAGAATTATGGTAAACCTCACAATAAATGGATTAATTCAAATAAGAACCAAGGTCCATCATCTCCACAAAATTTTACATGCTTTGTCTGTGGTAATAGTGGGCATATTGCTCGAACTTGCAAATTTCGAAAACGTGCACCTGTCCCAAAGGCTAACATTATCGAGGAGCCATTTGTGGCGATGATTACATACATTTGCATGGTTAATTATGTGGACGGTTGATGGGTAGATTCTGGTGCTAATAGACATGTTTGTTATGATCAAGCTTGGTTCAAGGCGTATACTCCCTTTGATGATGAGAAAACAATTATGCTTGGTGACTGTAGTCAAACCAAGATACTTGGGAGTGGTGAGGTTGACCTTAAGTTCACCTCTGGACGTGTGCTTACTTTAAAAGATGAGCTTTATATACCGTCCATGAGGAAGAATTTGATATCAAGTTATTTGTTAAATAAGGCTGGTTTTAAGCAAACTATGGAATCTGATCAATATGTGATTACCAAAAAGGGTGTTTTTGTGGGTAAGGGTTATGCTTGTGATGGGATGTTCAAATTGAATGTTGAGATTAATAAACCATCTACCAATTCGGTTTACATGTTGTCTTCTATTAATTTTTGACATGCTCACTTGTGTCATATTAACAGCAAATATGTGGGAATTATGAGTAGTTTAGGATTAATTCCTAAAGTGAGAAATTTTTTTGAGAAATATGAAGTTTGTAGTAAAGCAAAAATTACCAAGAGGCCTCATAAAAGTGTTGAAAAAAATACCGAATTGCTAGAATTATTTCATACTGATTTGTGTGAGTTTGAAGGAATTTTAACTCGGGGTGGTAACCAATATTTTATCACTTTTATTGATTATTTTTTAAAATATACAAACGTATATTTATTAAAAAATAAAAGTGATGCTTTTGAGAAATTTAAAGAATTCATTCTTGAAGTGGAAAATCAATTCGGTAAAAAGAATAAAAGAATTAGAAGTGATAGAGGTCGAGAGTATGAATCTCTTGGATTCAACTCTTTTGTTCAATTTTTGGGAATTATTCATGAGACTACTCCACCATATTCATCTTCATCCAATGGTGTAGCTGAAAGAAAAAATAGAACGTTAATTGACTTGATGAATGCTATGCTTATTGATTTAGGTGCTCCCTCAAATCTTTGGGGCGAGGCTATTTTGACAGCTTGCCATGTGATAAATAGAGTGCCACACAAAAAGCCTAAAATTGTACCTTATGAGTTGTGGTGGGGGCATAAACCAAATCTAGGTTATTTGAGGGTTTGGGGTTGTTTAGCTTTTGTGAGGCTTGCAGATCCTAAACGACCTAAATTGGGTGAACGAGCTACCACCTGTGCCTTTCTTGGGTATGCGTTGCATAGTACAGTCTATAGATTTTGTGATATGGAAAATAATATTATTTTTGAATCAGGTGATGCTATTTTTCATGAAAATAGATTTCCTTTTAAATCTAGAAATAGTGGGGGTCAAATAATTTCTGAAAATATTTTATCCATTCCTAGCTCTTCTACTTCATCTCAAGTTTTTCAAGAACAAGAAAATTCTCAAATCCAACTAAAGAGGAGTAAACGAGCCAGAGTTGAAAAAGATTTTGGCCTTGACTATTATCTTTACAATGTCAATGTAGAAGAAATTCCTCTTACAGTGCAAGAAACTTTATCATCACCTGATGCTATTTTTTGGAGAGAGGCTGTAAATGATGAGATAGATTCACTACTTTCAAATAAAATATGGAAGCTAGTGGATTTACCTCCAGGTTGTAAAACTATTGGGTGTAAATGGGCCCTTCATAAAAAACTTAAACCGGGTGGAACTATAGATAAATATAAAGCGAGGGTTGTCGCTAAAGGTTTTAAGCAACTAGTTGATCTTGATTTCTTTCATACTTTTTCTCCGGTTACTAGAGTTACATCCATTAGATTGTTGATAGCAATGGCTGCAATTCATGATTTAAAAATTCATCAAATGGATGTAAAAACAACATTTTTAAATGGAGATCTAGATGAGGAGATTTACATGGACCAATCCGAAGGCTTTGTGGAGTCTGGCCAAGAAAGCAAGGTGTGTAAGCTAACTAAAATCCCTTTATGGTTTAAAACAAGCTCTTAAATAGTGGCATGAGAAATTTGATTCCTGCATGCTTAAGAATGGCTATAAGACTAATGAATGTGATAAGTGCATATATTATAAAACTTGTGAGAATGCACATGTGATTATTAGCCTATATGTGGATGATCTACTTATCTTTGGCTCTAATTTGCATATTATAAATGAGACTAAAAATATGCTTAATAGGCACTTTGATATGAAAGATCTTGGTGAAACCAATTTTATTTTGGGAATTAAAATTATCAAGATTAATGATGGTATTTTTCTTGATCAGTCGCATTATGTTGAGAAAATTTTAAAGAAATATAATTTTCTAGACTGTAAACATGTTGCTACTCCTTTTGAG